TCAAATGCAGCCCAAGTTAGGCCTACATTTCAAATGCAGCCCAAGTTAGGCCTACATTTCAAATGCAGCCCAAGTTAGGCCATCTTGTTTCCAAATGTAGCCCAAGTTAGGCCATCTTGTTTCCAAATGTAGCCCAAGTTAGGCCATCTTGTTTCCAAATGTAGCCCAAGTTAGGCCATCTTGTTTCCAAATGTAGCCCAAGTTAGGCCATCTTGTTTCCAAATGTAGCCCAAGTTAGGCCATCTTGTTTCCAAATGTAGCCCAAGTTAGGCCATCTTGTTTTCAAATGTAGCCCAAGTTAGGCCTACTTATTTTCAAATGTAGCCCAAGCTAGGCCATCTTACATTAAGAGTAGCCTAAAGGTAGAAAAATTCAAAATTTAGCAATGCTAAGCTTTCAAATATCATCCAAACTAGCAACCCTTGGGGATGGGAAAAATGCAAAGATCAAAACTACAAACAGGTGTTGTCCAAAATGCATCTATTTTACTATAAAGGGTTATTCAAAAAGAAAACAACAGATTTAAATTTTTTAAAATAAAAACAAATGCTAAGAGACAGAAACACATACAACACATTACCAAATAGGAAAAAAGTTCAAAGTTTTTTAAAATTACACTCTGCAAATTGCAGTACACAAAACAACTTTTCTTGTGGCTTGACACAAATTATAACAATTTAAATGTATACAAAAATAAAAAAAAAAAAATAAAAAAAAACAGAAAGAAGCATTTAAACAAGATTGAAAAAAATTTTTTCATTTAACTTTGAACCTTTCCCTATCTAGTAATGTGTTCAAGGTGTTTCTATCTCTTAGTATTTGTTTTTATTACATTTTTGAAATCTGCTTTTTCTTTTTGAATAACCCTGTATAACACACTAAGCTATTTTTTTTTTTTTGGTCTGTAATATCTGCAACCTGTTGGTTTACTCGCTTGCATTGGCAATTTATTTAAAGACTGACATGTGGAAACCTAATAAGTACTTAACGTATCAATTTCATATATGCTGTTTTTTGGGGTTTTTTTTTATGACAGAGGAAACTAATATCAAGATAAAATTCTGCTGGACATTAAATGGGGGGGGGATCAGTTCTATATTAACTAATAAACTGATCCCACAAAATTACTTATATTATTCTTGTGTGTGTGTATATATATATATATATATATATATATATATTGGGGAGGCATGGTGGAGTAATGGATAGCGGCTCGGATTGAGGAATCGGAGAACTGAGTTCAAATTCCAGTCAAGTCTATTACATTCACTTACATGCTAATACCCTTGGGAAAGGTATGAATCCTCCTCTTCTCTCCCCACCAGCTATGGGTAAATAGCAGGACAGACCGGGTTCTATAGCCTTGGATGGCAAATGATCTACTGCAGAAAGAAATTGCAACCTTCTGTGGGGAAAAAATCTGCATTGTATGGGTAAATAGCAGGACAGACTGGGTTTTATAGCCTTGGTTGGCAACTGGTCTAGGAGAAGGACAACTCTGAATTCAAAACCTGCAGAGGGTAGTTTGGGGACCATGTGGCATGTAGTGCACCAGGTCTCTGTATTCAGCCCTTCAAAAAGTGTGGATGGTTCTGCACAAAACCTTTACCACTATGATCAAATCACATATGCTGGTGTCTGGTTGTCAGTTCCTAGGAACTGAGCTGCTTGACCTTCATACGTCGAATATGATGGGAGAGTACAATACAGTCGAATACACACACACACAGGGTGTTCCATAATGATGGGACACTTTTTAAATGCAAGTATCTTGTATAATAAAAATGGAATAGAATACAGAATATATTTGTTACATATACAAAGAGTTCAGCATATTATCTAAGATTTTATTATTTCCTACAGATATAGGATATCTCTTTTTGCTGACAGTGGAACCTCCAAAAGGAAATTACATACATAGTGGAGGCTTGCTTCACCAGCCAAAGACCCAAGCCCAAAGGAAATTCTGACAGCATTTTGGAAAGTGACAGGCTCTATCCCAAAAGGTGATTCTCTATGCTGTTACAAACTTCTGTAGGACAGGCAATGTCAACTGATTGAAATGAAAGAGCAAGCTCATGCATGTTCTCTTCATTTTGATAATCATCCCAGGGATGTCATATTGAAATCTTAGATAATAAGTTGAACTCATGTATATCAGTTTTCTAATAAATACTTTCATTTAAAATGTGTCCCATCATATAATAATATATGTATATATAAACTCAGACTTGAAAACCTAATGATAGTCGAGTGAAAATAGCCCAAAATGATGTGAAATCCTAAAGAAAGAATGGTACAAAGCTAAATTTGGTACTGTTGGAAAGATTGTTTTATCCAGAGTCTCTCTTCTATATGTCATGTACCTGCAGGATGTTGGTGATCATGACTCTCCCCAACTTCTTGGACTTTGTAGCTCTTAATAAATTTTGTCTTTTGGCTACCTCTCCAAACACTGTTCTGTCATCCATTTACTCAAGCTTGGCTAGGTAAGTTATGCATTGTTTTCCTTGGTTCCTCTTGCTTTCAATCTGTCCAATGAGTATCAAATTTTCCAAGCCTTCTTTTCTCATCATGTGCCCTAGAAATTTCAAGTGTCTTTTTCTGATGTTCTGGTTTTCATTTTCACTAAAATTTTGATCAGTCCATGGTATTCCAGTCATCCTTCAAATCTCTTCTCCATCCATGAGGAGGCCATACAACATTTACTGCAACAAAGAAGGACATAACAGTTCGGTACACTTTTCATTGTTTGCTAATGGACTTAGTAATATATTGAAGATCCACAAAAATCTGACTTTTGCATTTTTGTTTTTTTTTTTAACGTGAGTATTTTAAACCTTTCTTTGAAATAATATATTTCTTATTCAACAATTTTTCTTTTTACAAACCAGTCAGAAAAACCCTTAAGAAATTTGTATTCTAAGGATTATATGCTCAATCAATCAATGTCAAAATGCTTTCAAGTACTTTCTTCTATTCAAATTTATAGTAAGCCATGTGCTTATAAAATTGTCATGGGTCCTTACCTATAACTACAGAATGAACTCTTCCTAACACTATGTATACTACACCTCTCTCAAGAGAGAGGGACGAATTGAGTTGAGTCAATAGTAGTTCACTCCAAACCAGACTGACAGTCATGCTAACACCCTCCACATCTTGTATTATTATTTCGTGTAATATACCTTCGTTATTTCTACTCTTGTGTTCGTGTTGTTCTTCCTTGCTCCTAACCTGGACCATAACAACAATCTAAACCGATTTTTTTTGGTATATTACAAACTAGTCAGTAATAGATAGAACAATTTTGCACTCCAATGATCATATTGTCAAGTGATTAAACTAAAGATGCTTACAAATACCTGATCCTCATCTAAAGATGTAAAGAAAGACATATACTTATAAAATCCAAACTATGTTTTTTTGTAATTCACAGACTTCTCACTAAATGCATAAAATTTTGTATTCAGATAATCATTTTTTTTATTTTTTTATTTTTACAGGGGTGTTCACCCTGTAAAAGGCCTGAGGGTCACTCAAGGTAGAGTGTTACAGAGTAAGAGGCACATCTTATGTGGATATGTATGAAAGATAAAAGATGTTGAACAGGTTAAGATTGTAGTGATCAGGGAAGCAGCCTCTTGGCAAGGTGGCAGTTTGTAAGAAGAATCTTCTTGAGTGAAACTTACATAGAGGGACATAAAGGAACTGAAGGGTGGTTCATTACAATGTGCACCACAGGGCTGGTCTTAACTGTGAAGGTTAACACTGGTGGAACTAAGGAATGTCATTCATATGAACATTTTCAATAGAAATAGTGATAGAGCAGGAAGAGGCTTGTGATGTCTCATCTGTGAGAAAAGGAATTCAGAGTGGAAAATAATTTGTCACCTACAAGGATGTGTAGACGCTTTTCAGCAATATCAAGATTATGTTGTCTAATTACAAATACTTTCAAACATTCTCTTCCAACATAACCTACTATGAGCCAAAGGTGTAAATCAATTGCACTTGTAATTGCAAAGTTAAGATAAAAAAAGGTAAATAATCCTAGATGGATGGAATGTCATATTGTGATTACTTGACCCACCTCTACTGAAATGTACATAAGAAAAAAAAAGTTTCCCCAAATTGGATTGTCACAGATTTTGGTTATGTTACTCATTATTAAACAAGATTTCCAACAGTACCAAATTTAGCTTGATACCAATATTTTCCAGAAAAAAAAGACAATTTCTACTGGATAGGCTTAAAGGTTTAGAATATGTCATTTTTTTTTTATGGTATAGGTAAAATTGTAAAAGTAATTAAAAGGTGAATATGTTTTGTGTTTTTGTTGGTAAGAAAATGGATTTCTCAGTGACAATAATAGTTATCAATAAGCTCTCAACATGGAAATTAGTGATCACATTTAGAAGCAAAAATATAGACTAAAAAACACACATAACGATCTGAATAAATTTATGGATACCAACTGAAGGCCCATTTAAAATATTATTGAACCATACAAGTCACCAGTAAAATTAATCTTTTTTTTCTTTTTTAATATATAAACAGGAATCACAAACTTGAATAAATAGTAAAATTATCGCCCACTTTAAATTCAATGCATAAAAGATAAAAATAATGCATTAACTCTTTTGGAAACAGAATTTCAATTTTTTTTTCTCTTTCTCTGACACTTTGCTGTTTTTAAAATACTGTTGAGGCAAATTTTTTTTCTTTTAATTTTAGTCACCCCCCCCAAATCTCGAAAAAGAATCAAAGAGACTTGTGCTCTTCTCATGCCACCCATAATATCTATCTTACATAGATGAAAGACAAGTTGAGACCATCCTCAATTTTCAGAATTGTCTTACACAGAAGACTTGCCACTGCAGACATAACCAGAATACATGATTGTACACTGAGGCCTACCAGAGTATCGTCCAAGCTTCTGCCACATGTCTAAAAACGTCCATGGTGAAACATCAATGGTTTCTAAGCATGACACCTTATTAAGTTACTTCACTGAAGCATGTATCTCGTAAGCTATTGATTCGAGATCGAGGAAAGGAACCGGGTTCGTTAAAGATGTGCTACAATGAGAAAAAAAATAACATTGTATTAGTAATTTGCTTCATGTTAACTTTATAAGATAGACAGGTCAATTCTTTACAGTTAATAATCTATAAGAGTACAAAAACATGCATTCAAACACATTTTGAACTTTAATATTAACAAGCATTTACTTTGTTGTGGGAATCACCATTTTTATTTGCCGAGTGTGGACATTTGTTAGTCAATATTTAATGGCTCCTGGTACATTTGTCCCCACAAACAATATTTGGTGGACTCATGCGAGTCTGGGCAAAAATAAGGAACTAAAACATGGAATTTAATCAAACAATTAATGCATGTATCAACAAAAGGAAATTACATTAATGTGTACACAGTTGAAAAGAAAGTTACAGACATTAAAACATTAGCTATTAAAAATATGCTTGTGTGTGTGTGTGTGCAAGAGTTCAGTAGTCAGTCAGTCAACCGGAGAAATAAATATGCTCCAGCAGGGACATCTTCATCTACCATCTGCTACATCTTGCAGCAACAGGAAGAAATTATTTTTTTTTTATTTACAGAACTTAAATAGCACCATCTAATGGCCATTTTGAGCTAAGTGGTGTAACCCACAACTTTCATCTTAATTTTTTACTTAATTTTTAATTACTTTACATCATTAGATGTAGCATTGTCAACCATCATTAATTTTTAACTCATTTTTTTTTCATCATAATTCCAAATGCTTTCTAGTTCAATGTTAGTAATAAAGTTTTCTATAAATATTTTCATGGTAATTGTTTTGATGAGCTTTTATTTGGTACCTAGACCTTACAAATTTAAGTGCAGTACTAGATTGGCAGTAAGGTCTCATCATCTCAAGATTGAAATGTCTAGATGTAACCATAAATTCTGAGCTAACAGTTCCTCCTCTCGCACTTTGCTCATGGAACTCTTCTGGCTTCTTGCTTCCCAGTCAAATTTTATTATCTTCTGTATTCTTAATTCCTGTTCTTTTATCGTTCTCTCTCCTTAATGTTTTCTTTTTCCTATATTCTTTCACTCAGTAACCCACTTGTGTCTTATCAGCTTTATTGCCTTGCTTTTGATGAAAAGATAAAAAAAAAATATCCCAAAATGTACACTATTTAGATTATTCTGTCTATTGTCCTCATCTTTGTCGCCATATTTATTACAATGTTTCGGCCGTTCTATGCTCCAGCCTTCTTCACGTAGTTGGAATGTAGAACTGAACCCTTTATTTCGCTCACTGGGGTAGACTGTTCTAGTTCCATGTCTAATAGATGTCAGTTATCAGTTATCTCCTGTTAATTCCCCTCTACAATTTCTCCACTCCAAAAAAAAAAAAAAAGGGGCCCAGATGAGCTACATTCTTAAGTTCCATCAGTTGAAATCTTTACAGCTAAGACACACAATGTAAAGTACACAAGGGTGACTCCTCCTCATTCTCTTCATATTCCATTGATAAGGAGGAAGTTCCACTCAAACAGCTTCTACACCAGAACTGTTAGTTTGTGAGACTCCCAAGAAATTGCTTCCCAGATCATTACAATCTTAACCTCTTCAAGTCTGTCATACACATCATCCTAACATGCATTTTTTTTTTTACCTCTTTTTATGCCCTTATGACAACCTTATTTAGTAAAACTCTAAATTGAGTCTCTCTTGGGCCTTGCATTGGGCAAAAAAAAAGTATTTAAACAGATATTATGGTTTCTAGGCTTGTTTTTCTAGAAAAAGTTACCACAATGTTTACATCCTTAGATTTAATTGTAATTTTATTGACAATTTTCCAACCTTTTTTTAAGATTATTTACATCATTCAGACTACTGTCCTCATCTTTATTGCCATTTTTCACAACATTTCAGCCATTGTACACTCCGGCCTTCTTCAGGTAAAAGAAATACCAGAAGAAGACTAAAGCATACAATGACCAAAACATTGTGATAATGGCAATAAAGATGAGGACAACTGTCTGAACAATTTAAATAGTTATAATATCTCACCTCAGAGATATGGACAGATTTTACTTTTTAAAAACTTTATCAAGAACTTCTAGCATCCAGATAACATTTTAGAAAATACTTAAAACCGGTAAGAAAGTGTGTGTGTATGTGTGAGAAAGCAGTGATGAAAAATCTCAGCCAGACACTCTTTCCAAAGTTTTTCTTCACCACCTTTATAAATGTATATGTGGCAAGAACCATCTAAGGGAGATAACCATGCTATACAAATACATTTGAATAAAATTTAAGTTACGTAAGTAGCCTTATGATAAATTATTAAAAAAAAAAAAAAAAAATTATTTCTCAACATGATCTCCTTGCCTGTCAATGCACTTAACGAAATGCTTCTCCATTAATCATACAGGCTGAACATTATACAGGTAAAAATTCCATATTAAAATATCCACAAATATAATATTTAATGGCATATAAGATGCATATTAAAAAAAAAATTAGAAAATTATAGGCCTGATATGCAAAGTTAAGCAACCCACTCCCTGTGTAGGCTAATTTTATCCCCACTGGTCACAACTATAGGTTATAATTTTACCTCAGTCAGTTTAAGATTGATTCCATAATATTATTTATTCAAATGTCACCATCGATATAGTAAATATAAATGATTAAATGTTTGGTTACAGAACACTGAATGCCTACCAACCCAGCATTCTTTACTGTATTTTGACTTCTGTTCAACTGTAGGAGAAATTATTTTTGACTAGGTTTTCTCTTGCAATGTTTTATTTCTGTAATCATGTCAAATACTTTCATTCTTTCTCTATGTTCACCTGTACTGTTAGCTTCTTTTTAACAGACCTGAGTCTGTTCGAGCTGCTCGGCAACCTTGACATATTCAGGAAAGACATTAGAATAATCAAAAGCCTCTACTAGCAGCAAACAGCCTGCATCAAGATCAAAAATGAGCTCAGCAGATATACAAAAATAGAAAGGGACGTAAGGCAAGGATGTATCTTCTCACTGAACTTATTCAACCTATGCCATGAGACAATTCTGAGAGAATTGGAAATCCTACGAGGAGTTATTACTGGCGGTCACAATCTTAACATAAGATACCCAGATGACACAGTGTTGATAGCAGACACAGAAAAACTACAAAACCTTCTACAGAAGGTAGCGAAGGAGAGAGAGAAGAAGGGACTAAGTATAAACTACAAGAAAACAGAATGCATGGTCATCAGTAAAAGGATGAGCCCAAAATGTAATTTACAGGTCAGGGACACTGTAACCAAGCAGGTGCGGAAATTTAAATATCTGGGAAGTGTTCTGACAGAGGATGGTAAGTGCAATGCTGAGATCCAAAGAAGCATTGGGATGTCCAAAGACGCATTCCAAAAGCTAGACAGAGTATTATAAGACAGGGGCTTTTGTTGGTAACAAAGAAAAGAGTATTGAATTGCTACATGATGTCTGCCCTCCTTTATGGCAGCGAATGTTGGACGGTCTCCTCAAGGATGAAGAGACTTGAGGCAGCAGTGGTGTGGTTCTATAGAAGGATGCTAAGAATACCATGGACTGAAGATGTGAGTAACGATGAGGTTTTGGAGAAGATGCAAACAAAGAGGAAACTTATATTAACATCAGGAAGAGGCAGCTGAAATTTCTGGGACATGTAATGAGAAAGGAGGGCTTGGAAAATCTGATACTCACAAGGCAGATAGAGGGACAATGGAAAGCAACACATGACATACTTAAGCATGTGGATGGCAGAACAGAGTTTGGGAGAAATAACAAAAAGAAATAAAAAAAAAAAAATATTACACAGTCATCAATAACGTAAGCACAGTTTCAAATTTGACATTTGAAAATAAAGACATTGTTGTAACCTAGGAAAGGTTACTGAATAGAATAACCAAATGAAGGTTGGTAATGAACAATAATACATAGGACAAGAACAACACATATAAGATTTGCCATTGGCACATAGAAGTAGTCAACTACTAGAAGTGAGTCAAGTGAATTCCACAGTGAATCTACAATGGTTGGCTAACATACAGTATTCACTACTGTATTTATAGGAATTGGGACATACCCATTATCGTCCATAGGTATGCTATAACAGACATAATATAATTCTTTAAAATGTCAGGGATCGATTTGATACTGTATTTATATTATGAAATTGACTTCACTTCTAAAGTGATACATTTTTATTCTGATAAATGTTGTGAGTAGAAGAAAGTCTAATGAATGCAAATCTACATAAACTATTGCCTAAAATGTTTTTCCAAAATCTTTTACACGCAAACAAGTAGTGCTGATTACTAAAACATCAAAAACTGAAGAGGATTCTTACCATCATAAAATTATGGCAGTGTAAGCAAGGTGGCTGCTTCACAGACTTCTGGATGAGATCAACAGCTTCTGGAAAATCTTTGCAAGCTAAAATTTTCTCCTTATTTAGCGCTATTAACGTTATGGCCACTCGCTGTAGGACTTTGGACCCTTCATAAAATACACAATCCCAAATTCGAAGGACAGTCTGAAATCAAATAAGTTTTAGAAAATCCTTAAATGAACAATGACCTTTGTCAACTAAAATATTCTATTCTTGTTTTTAGATAAAATGCAAATTTCTCAAAAAATTTAAGAAAACAATATGATATCTTTTTACAATATTTAAATCTCTTATGAATGCAAATTTCTTTTAAATTTTCCCTCCCATCAGTACAAAGTAATAAAGAATCTTTAGCACGTTTAATAAATGTTAGGTTTACTGATAGGTAAGTAAGTTCACTGTGTCGTACTAGACAATTTTTCTCAACAAAATCTATCTTAGACATTTGTTAGTCTACCATTTGTCCAGGTTTTGGATATTGCTACCACATATGGTCTAGTGCTTCTGCTATCTATCTAGAAATTCTTGATAGAATACAAAGTAGAGTTTGCAATGTTATTAGTCCTGACCTGGCATGTAGGCTTCAGTCACTATCTATAATGTAATTTCTACGTTCCTTTTCTATTAATATTGTCATGGTAATTGTTCTGATGAACTTTCCTCTTTGGTATCTGGACTTTATGAATATAAGTGCTGTACTAGATTGGCAGTTAGGTCTCATCATTTTACAATTTAAATTGCTAGATGCAATTGTAAATTCTATCCTAACAGTTTCTTCACTCACACTTCTTGCCTGTGAAACTCTTTTGGCTTCTTGGTTTGCAGTCAACTTTGATCTTCAAAAATTTAAATTCAATGTTATTTGTTATCTTCATCCTAATTCATGTTCTTTTATTGCTCTCCCTTGCCCCTTAATAATGTTTTTCTAATATTCTTGTACAATCAGCAACCCCTTACATTTTAGTGGCTTTATTGTCTTACTTGGAGAGAAATGATTTAAAAAAAAAAAAAAAAAAAAAAACAACTGTCAGAGGTCAATTACAAAATCTGACTGACTTCAAATACCAACTTTATATTAGACAACTTAGGCAATAAAAAATGTTATCAGTTGATTTATAGCTTCATTAACATTGTTTTCATACTAAAAGTATAATTGCAAAGAATAAACTTGTCAGTGCCCGCTAATGAAAATATCAGAAAATGCCACACACGAAATAAGTTATAGTCAACATCATAATGAAAACTGCCAACTCTGAATCATCTCATGGTTGATAATGTTTCAACACAAGAAAAAACATTGAAAAAATCTGCTTTGCACTCTTATGGATTTTAGCTGATAAATACTTACTATCCATCCACTGTGCCTTCCTTACCTACATTTCCAAAAACCAAACAGTGACAGTGTAAAGGTCATTTGGCCCAGAGTAAGAACAGTTTTGCTTTATGTAATTTTAGTTAAAGAGCAGCAGAATTTTTTGAAGGATTTTTTTGTTTACTTTTTCTATATTTAAAACCAGTTTCCAGTTTAAAATTTGAACAAAAAATTTGTTCACTGTCAGAGTACACAAATTTAGTTTGCTTACTGTGAATTATCTTCTATAGAAGTTACGTTGCAGCAGTGAGAAAGTTACTGAAGCTAAGATACCAGGTCAGGATTAGTAACAATTGACTGATGCAGATTTGTCTTTGGATATTCTCAAGAATCTCTAAATACACAGCAGAAGAAACACCCAACCAAATGTGATAACAATATTCAAAGCCTGGATGAATGGTAGTAATATATAGGTATATTTAATAACTAATAAAAATGGCACACTGATATTTATACAAACTTAGGCAATGTAGACATCATAAGTAATAATTACAAACAAATGCAGTCTAAAAGGATTATCACAAGTGGATGCCAGCAAGATGATAAACTTGATGTGCATTTGTTTGACTTACCTCAACAGGCATTACATCAGCATACATGCAAATAAACCATTTTGTTCCAATCAAGGCCCAGGGGACACCCAGTATGCGTAAATGATCATGGACATCAGGTAACTTCCACCTAAGCAAATAAAAAAAATTAGAAATTAAGTTTTTGCTTTGTTCCATTTAGTAAATGAAATCAATTCAATTAATCTTACAACAACATGCAATTTTTTTTCTTTTTAATCAAGTACAGATGAGCTTCTTTTCAGAGTCAACAGCTAACATGTGTGCGTATATATATATATATATATATATATATAACCCAGTCTGTCCTGCTATTTTACCCATAGCTGGAGGGAGAGGAAGAGGATTCATACCTTTCCCAAGGGTATTAGCACGTAAGTGAATGATAATGGATACGACTGGAATTCGAACTCGGCTCTGCGATTCCTCAACCATGCCTCCTATAGCCTTGGATGGCAACTGGTCTAGGAGAAGAACAACTCTGAATTCAAAACCTGCAGAGGGTCGTTTGGGAACCTTGTAGCATTCTGTGCACAAGGTCTCTGTATTCGTCCCTTCAAAAAGTGTGGATGTTCCTGCACGAGGCCTTCACCACTATAATCAAATCTTATGTGCCGGTGTCGGGCTGTCGGTTTTCTGGAAACTGATCTGCTTGACCCTCATACGTCGAATCTTGAGGGGAGAGTCAATTATTATATATATATATATGTGTGTGTGTGTGTGTGTGTGTGTGTGTGTGTGTGTGTGTGTGTGTGTGTGTGTGTGTGTGTCCAATGTACAGTAGAAATGACTGTAAAACACTTGCCCCTGCCCATTTTATAGGCAGAAGCACACAAATGCATGCTAGGATTTTTCTCTAGCCACTAAAATAGGCTGGTTCTTGGCTTTATTTGACTCAGTCCTGGTCTGTCTTATCATGAAGAACTTGCTCTGGCGTGTCAATCCTAATTTGTGAACTTTTTACCTTATTACTGTTAATTGGCACTCTTTACATTATTTGGACTATTGTCTTCATCTTTGTTGCCATATTTATCACAATGTCTCGGATGGT